GATCTGTAAAGCTTTACAGGTGCAGCGAGCCTCATCTTCCTCCCATGGAGCCACTGGTGGGTTCAAACTGCTGACCTTCCAATTAGCATCCCAACGAATAACCCGGTATATCACCAGGGCTCCTTCTGTGTGGGGCAGTAATAATAATAAAGGGTCTGGAGAGAAAGAAATGGATGTGGGAGGTTCTAAAGCATGAGGCGGATGTGAGGGAAAGGTACCAATTAGGAAAGTCACCTGACCTTCCTCGGCCATCCGGAGATTCTTGGCTGGAAAGCAGTTATTCAGGTAAGGTTTCCCAACATCCAGCTTGTAGATTCCGGAAGAGGCCATCTCCCTGGATGTCGGGCAAGAAAAGCAAGACAGCAGCGCAGTGAGAAGGTGCAGCGGTGCTCTCTCACAGCAGTGCATCTGTGACCCCACCGGGGCCATCTCACCCTGGAGGTCCTCAAGAAAGAAGAGCCCTTGAGGTCTTTCAAGATGCCACCTGCTTCAGAAACGAGGCAGCCACTGAAAGGGACATGGCTCTGAAGTTCCCAACTCAAATCAACCCCATGTCAGGGAACACTAAAAAGAGCATCACTTTGGGGCTCCATCAGACCTGGATTGAATCCTGGCTCTGTCTATCCTTGTTTTATGACTAAGCAAATTACCCTACCTCTCTGAGGCTCATTTTCCTCACTTGTAAATTAACTGCTTTAATAAACAACTGAGACGATCAAGTGAGAAAGGTAGTGTTTGAAATCTAGCAAGTGCTCTCTAAATGTTTTCTTGTTCTGACAAAGTTCAGAAGAGAGAGGGCTCAAATTTTAGCGGAAAAAAAGATGTGCAAGTAATGAGATTTGGTGGAATAAATAGGATTTGACGGGTGAGTTGAATTAGAAGATGTAAGCATTCTAAACAAAAAGGGCCACAGGTCTGGGGTTGGTCACTGATAAGTCCTGGGACAGTGAAGCAACAAGCTGGCCCAAGGAGGAGAGGATGTATTTTGGGAGTCTTGGACGATCACGCTGGACAGGAAGGGTAGTACCTGTTCTTGAAGAGCCTTCTGGACCACATTTAAAAGCTCAGGCTTTATCGTGTTTTTTTAATAATCATTTTATTAGGGGCTCATACGACTCTTATCAAAATCCATACATACATCGATTGTGTAAAGCACATTTGTACATTCATTGCCCTCATCAATCTCAAACCATTTGCTCTCCATTTAAGCCCCTGGCATCAGCTCCTCATTTTCCCCCTCCCTCTTGAACTCTTGATCATTTATAAATTATTATTTTGTCATATATTACAATGTCTGACATCTCCCTTCACCCACTTTTTTGTTGTCCGTCCCCCCTGAAGGAGGTCATATGTAGATTCCTGTAATCAGTTCCCCTTTTCCACCCCACCCTCCCGGTATCGCCACTCTCACCGCTGGTCCTGAAGGGATCATCCATCCTGGATTCCCTGTGTTTCCAGTTCCTATCTGTACCAGTGTACATCCTCTGGTCTAGCCAGACTTGCAAGGTAGAATTGGGATCATGATTGTGGAAGGGAAGCAGTTAAGAACTAGAGGAAAGTTGTATGTTGCATCGTTACTACACTGGACGCTGACTGGCTCATCTCCTCCCCGTGACCCTTCTGTAAGGGGAAGTCCAATTGCCTACAGACAGGTTTTGGGTCTCCACTCCTCACTTCCCCTCATTCACAATGGTACGATTTTTTATTCTGATGATAGCTCAGGCTTTAGCTTGTAGGTGACTTGAGAGCCACGCACGATTTCTGATCTGGGGAGATCCATGATCCAAGCTGTGTTTTAGAAAGATTAATCTGACAAAACTAACACGTACATGAAAACGGGCAGCAATGAGGATTCCAGTTAGAGAGCTATGTAGCAACCCAGGGGTGAGCTGGTGAGGGTCTAGGTAAAGAACTCAAAGATCATTTACTTATGTATTTGAAAAAGAGAAGGAAGTGAGAACAAAGAAATAGAAAGGAAAGAGGAAAGGGGCAAGAGGAGAGACTGGAAAGAGAGGAACAGAATAAGAGGGACAAAAATAATTAAGGTGCGGACAAAAGAGTAGATAGACCCTGGAGGATTCTGACAGAAGTTTTAGAGACGTGGAAACAATAAATAGCATGACAATGAATAGAGAAAAGATGGAGATTCCCAAGGATTTCATTCTACTTGGATGCACAGTCAATACTCATGGAACAAGCAGTCAAGAAGTCGAGTGATATGACGTTGGTCAAATCTGCTGCACAAGACCTCTTTAAAGTCTTTAAGCCAGGGGTTCTCAACCTTCCTCATGCCGCGACCCTTTCATACAGTTCCTCATGTTGTGGTGACCCCCCAACCATAAAATTATTTTCGCTGCTACTTCATAGCTGTAATTTTGCAACTGTTCTGAATCGGGTGGCCCCTGTGAAAGGGTAGAGAACCCTTGATTAAGCACCAAGCTATTCCTAAGCCAAGCGGTAGTATTTTCAGTGGAAGTTGGGCAATGCGTAAAGACGACAAGGGAAGAATTGATGCATTTGAGTGATGGTGTTGGCCACAACTACTGGGGACAGCCAGAAGAACAAACATATCTGTCGTGGAAGAAGTATAGCTAGAACGTTCCTTAGAAGCAAGGATGGCGAAACTTCCTCTCACATACTTTGTGCATACTGGCAGCAAAGACCAGTCTGAAGAAAAGAACATCTTGCTTGGTCAAGTTGAGGGTCAGCAGAAAAGGGGAAGAATGTCCAGGAGATGGTTCAACACAGTGGATGCAACAATGGACTGAAACCTAACATTGTAAGGTTGGAGCAGGATTGTGTAGTGTTTAGTTCTGTTTGGGAGAGGGTTGCTATGAGGCAGAAATCAACTCATGGCACCTAGCAATGACAAGAGTGAAAATAATTGGGAGATGAAGGGTAGGCAGGTAGCTGTCAAATAAGCCAAGGGAAGAGAAAACAACAAAAACCAATATGCAGGGCTTGAGACTATAACCGTATGGGAATGACAAGTCTCATCTTTCTCCCAAGGAACAGCTGGTGGATTCAAGCTGCTAATCTTGAGTATCGCAGCCCAAAGGGTAACCACAATACACAGGGGCTCCTTAAGAGAAGGCTCTATGAAAACAAGCAAGATCCGCAGAGAAGTCAAGTTAGACGTGGAGCTAAAGTAGGTAATGAGGAAATAGGCTAATTTGAGAGGAAGAGTAAAGCCAGGCTTTAACTGTGTGTGGAAGAGGAAATGATGGGAGGTGAGGGAGTGCAATAGTGACACTAGGTGTTTGAAGAAGCTAAAAAACCTCCAAAAACCAAAGTCACTTCCATTAAGTAGATTCTGACTCATAGAGACCCTATAGAACAGGGTAGAATTGCCCGTGTGGGTTTCTGAGATTGTAACTCTTCACAGGAGTAGAAAGCCTTACCTTTCTCCTGTGGAGTGGTGGCCAGTAGTTTCAAAGTGCTGACTTTGTGGTTTGCAGCCCAATGCATGCCCACTAGACCCCCAGTGGGTTGTGTTGGGCTGCTAACCACACCGTCAATGGTTCAAATCCATCAACCACTCTTTGGGAGCAGGATGAAGCAATCTGCTTCAGTAGCTTTAAGCCTTGTAAACCCTACATTGAGTTGCTGTGTTGGAATCGACTCAATAGCAGCGAGTCAATCAGCAGGACCAGGTCTAGGACAAGAAGAGTGAGAACATGGAGGGAGGACATCGTTCTTTCTAAGGGTCATGCAAATACAGTGTCAACACTTGCCTTGACCTTAGTCCAAGCCCTGGTGAACAGAGTCATTCCAAAGTACAGACTTCAGAGTCCCACTGCACTGGTTGAAATCCTAGCTGTACTACTTACCAGCTGTGTGACCTCTGGAAGTTACTTGACGAGTTTTTGTTTTTAGAAATTGTATGTGTGCATTAGGTGAAAATTTACATGACAAATTTGTTTCCCAAGCAATATTTTATATACAAATTTTTGCAGACCACTCTCCCACTTTCTCCCCGGGTTCCTTGTTTCCTCTCCCTGCCCTGCCTTCTCATTTTTGGTTTTAGGGAAATGCTGCCCTTTTGGTCTTATATAGGTGATCATCCAAAGGAGCACATTCTTTATGCGTGTTATCATTTACATTACAGCATCATCTATTATTTGGCCTCTGGGAGTACCCTGAGTTTCAGGTCAGAAGATTGTCTTAAGGCAATAGTCTCTGGGGCTCCTCCAGTCACCTCCAGAGCAGTAATTCTGGTCTTTTCTTTTCTTTTAATGTGAAGTTTGTTCTACATTTTTACTTATTCTAAAAGGGACCTTATATTGTAGTCTTGGGGAGATGGGCCAAGATGGAAGACTAGGCATATATATTATCTAGACCCTCTACAACAAAAACTGGAGAAACCAAGTGAATTAGATATAGATGACAATGCATTGCTTCAAAGAAAAGGATAAATATGTGGATAAAATACTGATTAGAGGAAGAGACTGAATGAAAACAGTGAAATGGGGAGTATACAGAGTGGTGGCTCAGCACAGTGCAGTCATTTTGGTTAACTGCAAACAGCTTTACACTTGGAGAAGGGACCAGATAACTGGTTCCGCTCAATCAGGACTGCATATTGATGATCTGTGACCAGAGAGGTGTGATCTCACCCTCAATCCCCCACATACTCTTGGTGACCTGAGGGGTAAAGATCCCAGTGTGCTGCTCCCACCCCCACCCCCCGCCTGCGCCCCTGCCCCGAATAGCTGGTCAAAGACTAACTCTACACACAGCAAGTGATTTGTCATTTATTTTGCTTTATTCTTAGTTTTACCCTTTCCCATCTTTTCTCACTTGCATCAATACTATGCTGCTTTCCCTCTTTTCTTTCTCTTTTTTCCTCAGTTCTCGTCTCTTCCCTCCTTGTTTTCTTGATTCTTTTCATTTTTTCTCCCCCCCCCCTTTTTTTTAAATGCTGTGCACCATCTCCCATGGCCACTGCAGCCAGCAGCACCCACAAGGACACACTGACAAAATATATCAGAAATCACACAAAAACAGCAAGTAGGAATCCAGAAGATTAAGACTAAAATTTCAGAAATAGATAATGCACTCCAAGTACAAATGAGTATAACTGAATCACTAGAAGACAAAATTAGTGAAATTGAAGTTGAATTCCTTTTTTTTTACATTTAAAATGACTTTATTTAAAAGGTAAGTATTGTTTCTTACTGAAACAAACAAGCAAAAAAACCAGTGACACTTGTCTTCCAATCTTTCAAGGTTATCTAAAAAATCCATGCCTCTTTTTTTAATGTCACAAACTAACGTTATATATAAGGTATAGGGGAAGTCAATTTAATAGGCATTATTAAATAATTCCACATA